AATTACATAATTAATCAAAATATATAAACAACTCATTAGGGGTAAATTGGTTCTTTTATATGTTATGTCCAGTCCAGTTCCGTCTTACCAAAGGCTGAACAGTTGTTCTATCCTATTTTGTCCTGTTCCATCCTATCTTGTTCGTCCCATCCTGTCTGGATACCAAACACACCCTCAATTCCATTCAAATTCCTTTGACAAATTCCAATCCTTTAAAAACCACTTTGCTGACCCAAAACCACCTTGCATTCCAGTTAGGCTAGGCTTTTTCCTCCCAAAAGATAACATTATAGTAATATAACCCATGAATGCCATTGATGGGATATGCTTAGCCTTGCAGGAATGCTAAGATCATAACTCTAAAGCCATGTAGCCACTTCCCTTCTTTTCCTTGTTCTTCTTCGATGCAATATGATCATTGATTTCATACTAACAAGTAAGAATTGTTATCTTTGGTTCTATGTAATATTAGCATGCATAAACTCATGTGATGAATTGATGGATGGTAATATGTTAGGGTCTTAAAAAGCAGCTCATGCATAAGCAAAGAATAGATCATCTGCAAATGCTAGAGCTTTGACAGCACAAGACAGATAAGAGGTTAGTCAAATGGTGTAGCAAATTCTGAAGAGATAATAAGGGATCATCTAAAGAAAGTTCGCTAATACTAAAGCTAGCATCCATGTATAAACACATAGGAAGGAAATATTGAAGGTAAGAGTAGCCTCCATTAACTAAAGCAATTCCTTCCATGTTTCTTATTGATTGATTGGAAATTCTACAACTTGTTATAAAAGTTAGAACAATTCAGTCCATTTTTTCCTTTTGATAATTATCATGAAGAAAGGTTTTGCCTCTCGATTCAGTCCAAAGCTGGAAAACTGTTGTCCAAGTAACAAGTAGATATTTGCATCCACCTTAGTTTTTCAAATGATGAACTGTACATATCAGGATACTTCTACAGTACAGACTCCGTTGGCTTTCATAACAAAGCATCACGAAAGTTCCGCAATCAATGGTCGAGGCCATGGTTTTAAAAAACGTGGGAGGCGTACGCCTTAAGGCGTGTCCAAAAAACGTACGAGGCGGCGCTCTTAAGGGCTGGTTGACTCGTAGGCGTCAGTTGATTGAGACGTGGGCAAAGGCCGTGAGACGGTGGGCATTGGAGAGGCGTCCGACTGGTAATAATAGGATAAAACACTAAAAGTGAGTCGAAATAGTCGAAATAGCACGACGCTTCTTTCTATCACCTTATACCCTTCTCTTTTTCAATATGCTAATTACTTTTGATATGTTTTAACTATTAGACATAATATATTATTATATTTAGTTAATAGCTGTTCTATTTTTATTTTTATTTTCTGATGTCTTTTATATATTTTACTACATTAATATTTTTATATACAATTAATAACTTTTGTATTTGTATTATTGTGTTTTTTAATTTTTTGATTAATCTTTTATATGCTTTTATTATAGATATCTAATATATATTTAATAAGTTTTGTATTCGTTTTTTTAGTAACTTTTATATGTTTTTACTATAAATATATTATATTATTATATTTATTAACTTTTATATTCGTTTTTTTTTTTTTTTTTTTTTTTTATTTCTTAATTGATTTTCTATATGTTTTTTAGTTAGTTAATCTAAGTAATTTGAGAGAATAGATAATAATGACTATGGAGATAACGGTGTAGCTATACAGTCTATGTTTCCTGCCTTGAGACTTAGAGTTATTAGGTTTATTGAATTGTGGGCTTTCTAGTTTGCTTATTTGGTATGGAAATATGAAATTATGTTTTTTTGTCAAGTGTTATGGATTTATGAATTTGTTGTTTTATTTTTGTGGGGCTCACGCCTCACATAACTTATGCCTCGAGGCTCGTTTCCATTCTTTAAAACCTTGGTTGAGGCATCACTTGAACTCAGCAACCAAAATGTCTCGTTGGTTCGGAATGAAGTGAAGCCGCTACATCAAGCCAACATCTTTCCTGATGGAAAACCAAGCAAAAGACTAGCGGTAGAGAGAAGGTCAATACTTCTATCTTGCATTTCTCTTAATGTTTTAATAGTTACTTTATCATAACATGAGGAGTATACAGGACCATAACTTTAATGCACTAAACTTCTAACCTTTCAGATAACAACTGACAAACCTTAAGACCTGCACTTCCTTACTTTAAAAATATTTCTCATCTTAGCATGGTAATTTGCATGTATTCTTTACATGCAACACGAGCAGCTACAAAATTTGAAGCCATCTTACCCTTACTTTTCTTGCATTCTTTAATTATATATTTATTTTAATATTTTAATTCCTTGGCCAACTCTACTAGCCCTGATAAAATGAAAAGGCCATCTTAACAATGACTTTAAAAGTTGATCAGAATTTACAATCTTCTACTCAATTCAAGCAAAAACTTAAATTAAGTAAAAACTTGTAAACATGGATCTCCTTGGTGTTACTCAGGTACTTTACTGGAATAATCACGATCATTTACTATGAAAAAGTTATGCATTAAAGATATACCGAATGGTTAAAAGAAGAACAAAGATAAACAAAACTGTAATATTAGAGAAAATTAAATGTTTTCATTATAGCTGAAGTTGCACTCCATTTTATCCCACCAACATGTCACCTACTCTCATCAATCTAACCCCATATCATGCCCAAAAAACATACACCATTGTCTATCATCTTATATTTCCTTCATTCTCATTCATAGTTAAAGCAACAAAGGTAGACTCAACTTAATCACTCGCTTATATGCTCGCCATTATCCGTATTAATAATCATTTTGACATTTATGCTGGGACTTTTTTCTTCTTGAAAGGCATTGACAATATCTCATGTCTCATAAAGAGTTCAAGAACAAAAAAATATCATAAGGAAATCCTTTGTATGTCCACTGTATCTGACCATGAATTTCCGATGACGATAGAATTTGTTGTTGATAAACAGAGTATCCAACACCTTAACCACATCACAGCTGCATTTCTTCTATGCACATATTTAGCAGGTTTTACTTCTGCCATATAGAACTTAGCTTTTAACAGTAATGGAACTTTTCTATTACATTATTCTTCAAACCATCAATTCATCAACCCCACACTCATCATATGACTGACATTATTATGGTCTCTCATCCAAAAAAATGGAAGAATTTCCATCCTAACAGCTTATTTGGACATGCTTACCACATCTATGCTCCTAATTAGCACAAATGATAGTCCATTTTGTGTCCTCTATTTATTCGCAATTAGTACACCTCCAACTTCGGATAATAAAGGGAAATTTGAGTTTCTACGCTTAAGTACCCCCCATATATCAATATATGCTCCAATGTTCAACTATTAACAAAGGGAAATTTTGTTTTAATACTCTCTCCCCCAAACCTATGACAGCCACCAAAAGAAAAACCTCCAACAATTTAATGTGAAAAATACTCAGCGGGATAATTGAAGATGAAACGCGAATCGAAATGACAAAGAACAAAAGTAAGAGAAAATCTTCAAGACGAAACCAAAACCGAAATCCTTCATCTTCAGCTGTTGTGATCAAATATGATGATCCAACAAGGAAAACAGCTTTGGAGCATCACCCAAGCTCAAAGATAGCTACATTATCCCTCTCTCTCTCCCTCTCTCTCTCTCTCTCTCTCTCTTTCTGTGGGTAAAAAATCTGTAATGAGATGGAGCTTGATGGTGCTCAATGATTTCTCTATAAGGATAATAGGGGCTCAATTAGCTTATGTTCAACTAGTTTTCGGTTGTTTCTTCAGTAAGGTTCAGGAAGAAGCACAATATGTTAAGCATTATTTTTATATCTTGATATAGAATATTCTTAGAACAACAATTGTGTATGTGTTTTGACAGTATACCACCAATAATCTGCAGTGTATTCTGAAATTTGCATTTGTGTTTTGCCTATTTAGTCTCACTTTTTATAGTAACTTGCAAATGTGAAGTAACTTTTTGCTATCTCACATATAGGAAAGCTTGTTGGAGCATTTTAGGTTAAAACATGGACAGTAATGTGTGTGTCTATGCATTGGCTTTCCAATTGTTATATTCACTGTTTAGATGAACAAAGGCTCATGAAAGCAAAGGCTAATAATGATATCAATATATGATTTTTCTTTTTCATATTAATTTAAGTTGTCAGATATCATTGAGTAACATTAGAAAACATATATGTATATATACGGACTTGCCATCTTAAGTCACATCTTGAAAAACGTTATGGCCTTGTATTGGCTCCTAATTCTTGAGATTTTGCCTCGCCGCCACTTCACACCTGGCCTCACACCATTTAGTACCTTGGGTAAAACATAGACCGTTTCTTGTCTAGATTGTCTATTGGAAGGGGCCTAAGCCTAAAAGGGGATGCATTCCTCATTTCTAGCATCTAAATGCTAAGATCCAATAGTTGGGAGTTGAAAAACTAATTAGAGTGAAACACCAAGTATAATTGCTATCACTTATTGTTCTTTTATTCTTTATAACCACTATCTAGCATGGTCTTGACACTAATGCCACATGAGGATTCAAAACAGAAATCAAGTCACTGACACTACTCTCATCAATCAATAGAATATCATCAAAAGGCATACACCATGCTATATCATCAAGGATGTCTTTGTGGGCTCATCTATACCTAAAGCAAAAAATATATGTGATCCAACAAATATTAGATTCATACAAATTATGATGTGTCAGTGGTTCAAAGAGCAAGTGATGATTGTCACAAATATTTTGATTACCAAGGTGTAGATATAGCTATTATAGTTGGTTTCTTTACCATTTATATGGTAATGAAATAGTAGATTCATACAAATTATACGAGCATGAAATGCACATTCACTCAGAAGGTCATGATGGAGTTACTAAAAGCAATAAATGAGCAGGGTAACTACTTTGCCCTACTTTGCCCTGCACTAATCCAGAAGTAATTTAAATGGAAAACAAAGAATAATGCATGAGTTTTAGGACATACCACCCTGTCTCATTGCGTTGATTATAATTCTTTATCGTGTCTTCTAACTTGAGGGCTTCCATGACATATGTCAAATACTCACTGCAAAAAATAGAAGAATACAAGTACTTCCTTATTAGATTAATGGTGCCATTCTAATGGTAAGGACATAGATTGCAGTTACGTCCTATATATAGCCGTAAGTTAATCCTCAAAAGAGTACCCATGTATGAGATGTGAACAAGTTCAATAAGAAGAGCTCGTAGTTCTTATACAACGATGTTGGAAGATCTACTAACCAGGCCGGAATGTAGTTCAACCATCCAAAAAAGATCATGGTGTTAACTAGTAAACAAATAATGTGATTAAAATACAAAATCTATGGAGCCTGATTATCAAGTACACAAGCATGAAAGTAAAAGTTTGCAAAACTCGATACCTTCATCATTAACAGAAAATCCCTATATATAGGGTATGTACAAAGAAACCCTATCGGCTATAATTAATGATAAATATAAATCAAATCCGTAATTATCTCTAACTAATATAATCGTAATTATCTCTAACTAATATAATCGTAATTATCTCTAACTAATATAATCAACCGGCTAAGAGAAAGCTTAGAACATATTAATTCATTTTAGTTTCATTTAATACTTGTTTGACTTCATAACATGTTTGTGCCAAGATCTCATTATATGAAAAAAAAATTCCCAAATAATAAAATTACCAAAATATTACAAATAATAAAAAAGCATATAAGCGTTGAAAACAGAATACCCTTGGTATTTTGCTCACCATCAAAGAGTATAATCTGTATTTTTGTGCCACTTGATCAATAATGTGTCCCAATGTTGCTACCACAGCTATATTTTTTACTTAAATTTCCTCCTGTTACATTAATTATTGCCAAGCCATCACAAACTCAGATGTTTCACTGTTTTAAATGTCATTCATCATGTTATGTGATGTATGGTTGTACAGCCTCAACAGCATCCATAACTCAAGTAACTCCGACTAGAAGGAACTTTATAATCACATAAAACACTTGACGAAAAAGTTAGCTATTTTGCCAACCTTTTCATGTGGGCGATCACCTTTATCCACTCCATTGACACGTTGTACACATAAGGACTAAGGAGGACCATGTATAGCAACTTACAAATATAGTTACTCTTACTTCTAATTGACATTAACACTTCGATAAACTGATCATTTTCACATCTTCTGCATTATACTCTTGGAACAACAATTTTCCAAAAGTTGTTATTCAACTTCTCCGAAAATTAAAGAGGCTTCCGGCTCAAATTCAGAATCAGATTCGGTAATATAAAGCTAATCCAAACATACACAACATCACGGAGATAAAAATCTGAAATAGCTGTCAGAATTGTGATTCGATATAAGACCATGGTCCCTGTTTTGTGTTTTCTATAAGTGATGTTAACGTTTGGATTGACACCACTTTGTTAATGACTTAATGGTTGGACACTTGGACACCACTTTGTTGATGGTTTGTGCTCGAGTAGCAGTAAGTTGTTGTTTACCAAGCGCTTACCGGCAAAACCCACCACCCTCACTTACCTTATCGGGTAACATTCTTGGACATCAAAACAGATTGGTGGTAAACGTTTCTTAGTTAGTAAGCATTAACAGGGTAAGTAGGGGTGTTCAAAAAAATTGTCGAATCGTTCAAACCAGTCAAACCAAGTCAAACCGAACCGTTTTTGGCGGTGTGAGCGGTCTGGTGCCAAAACACTCGGTCCGGTGTGATCTGCGGTTTGAACATTTTTTGAGTGATTTGGATCTAGTATGCTCAACTTTTATGGTCCAACTAAAAAAGGGATTGTCCAACTAATTAGGTTTTCAGTTTTCATTTCTCAAGTGTCCGCATTTCCTAATTTGGCAAAATTTCGAAATCCATTAAAAATCAAAATCAAAATCAAAATTTCCAAAACGTCTTTCGACTTGCCCAATATTTGTCCAAAATTCCAACTATTGTTGGTGTTCTTGTTTAACTTTTTTCAACTTGGTCAATGTTTTTTTTTAATTTCGAAGATAGATGTTTCGTTTTATAATTTGGTATAGTTTTTTTAATAATGTTATATTGGTAGAATTTCCATTTTGGAGATAGATTTTATGTTTTTCTAGTTTAAAGCCTATATAGATCCAAACCGCTAAAACCATTCAGACCATACCTCGTTTTTGTGGTTCAATTTGACCAGTTTGGTCACTTGCTCCCAAACCGCTCGGTTTGAAAAAATTTCTAAACGGTCATCAAGGTTTGGTTTGTGGTTTGGGGGGTTAAACTGCCCAAACCGGACCGTTAAAATCTCGTCAAGCTCAGATGGTGTAGACTTCCTTTCTTTGATCTTTGAGGCTCAAAAATTAATCGGTAGGGCTTTATCGGGTCGGTGTATTTGGCTAAAAAAATTCCCTAAACAACATGGCTTGAATGATTTCAATTTATCGCATCTTTTTGTTGTATTTTTGACATTTTCTAGAAACTCAATTTGATTTTTCACTATAGATCTTTGGAACCAGACCGTTAAAATCTCGTCAAGCTCAGATGGTGTACGACTTCCTTTCTTTGATCTTCGAGGTGCAAAAATTAATCAGTAGGGCTTTATCGGGTTGGTGTATTTGGCTAAAAAAATTCCCCCACACTTGTATAAAATAACAACATGGCTTGAATGATTTCAATTTATCGCATCTTTTTGTTGTATTTTTGACATTTTCTAGAAATTCAAAATTTTGATTTTTCACTATAGATCTTTGGGTTAAAGCATTTTGCTTTATTTTATTTTTTTTGTCTTCCAATTTTTCGAAGACATTTGGTACAACAATTTTTCTAATAACACTTTGGAGCACATACTCCCCCAAACTTAAACCATACAACGTCCGTATTGGATAACCGGGTTAAAGTGTTTGGCTTGGTAACAAGGGAAAGTGTTTCGGCCAAAATGAAAGACGGCCTTCGTCTTTTTAATTTTTGCAAACCCCAAAAGAACTCAAAGAAATCGTACCTGCAAAATAATGATCATGCTAACGAGACCACAAATATATCAATGCCCAATATTTACTAACAAAAGATAATAGTAGCGAGCAACAAAAATATAGAGCAAAGCATCAACAACCGCGTTATATGAACACAAAAGACATGCTATACTCGCGGGGAAGGAAAAACGAGCAGTTTACGCTTTAGTAGCTACCGTTTCACTGGCTCTAGTATTCACCGACTTTCATAAAATGGAATATTATCAACGTGGTTGGAAAAAGTAGCAAATACCCACAAAAGCAACATTAAAGTTTCAAAAACAATGATGAAACACCGAGGATGAAATTAATCCGATTTACCCATATCACCTCGACTGCTCGAAGTCTGCCCCGTAGCATCTGAAGTCGAAGTCCGACGAATTTTAGGAAGCCGAACTTGTGGAAGACAAAGACCTCGTGGCAAACGTGGCAAATCGGCAGCCATCATCACATTCTTCGCATATAAAAACTTGTTTACAACTCGGTTCCGATCGCGCGTGTATGTCCAGGATTTTTCCGAACAAGCGATCAAGCCAGCAACTCTGTCTTCAACTTTGGTGATCCGCTCGGTGATTTGATTCAAAGCTTCAGCAATCGCTCCCATCTTTTGATTGCATTCTTCCCATTGGCCAGCCATTAAAGAGAGCCAAACTTCGGAACCGTACCCAGTAGCCGAAGGTGGTATCGGAGGAATCTCGAAAGTAGCGGGAGGAACAACCACGGATGGTTTAGAAGCAGGAACTGTAGTGTCATCGGGCAGCCGGGGGCTGTTTTTAGCAGGTCCAAAAGTGGTTTGCGGGCCAGTAGCATCATCCACCAAATCATCGTTCTCGTTCGTTGGTTTGTGCATTCTATTAACAGTTCCTTGGTCAAGTAAGGAATGACTGAAGGAAATCACGTCATGCTCAGAGGCTGGTACTTTTGCGGTTGTTAGTAACCTCGTAATCAATCCTGGAAAAATCAAACGAGAACTAACGCGCACCGTTCTGGTTGGTATGGTGGAATAGGCAAGTGCACCCACATCAAGTGGTAGCTCCTTGATAATGCAATAAACCATAATGCATTTTGCCCGCGATCTATGCTGTTAAAATCGCGATATATCGATGATATATCGGATATCGGACTCTAGAAAAACATCGGTGGTGAAATATCGGTCAAAATATCGGTTCCGATAATATCGCCGATATTTACCGATATTCTGGCAAAAGCTTGCGTGAGCAAGTGCGCATGTCGTGCGAAGACTGAAGGGAATGAATGGAAAAAATAGCATGTCGTATCAATTTCACCGATATTTTGATGGAAAAATCGGTCTTATATACCGATTTTCTATAAGACAAATGTTTGGGCTTTTTTATTACATGTCGGGCTTAGTTTTTTGGGCCTCTTTATTTGGTCAACCAGTCAACACATATATTAAGTCTCACGCTTCTTCTCTTCTCGGTTCTTCACAGTTCAYGCTTCTTCTCTTCTCGGTTCTTTCACAGTTCACGCTTATTGTTTGTGATTAGCTCGTTTTTGAACACTTTTCCTATTTTGTTTTGTGAGACTTGTTTATGTGATGTTTTAGTTTTGAAACTATATTTCTAAACTCTAGTTAATGCATATGATATGATTATGGATGCAAACATAATATATATATATATATATATATAATTCTAAGAAATATTATATTAACAGCTATTTTGGACCGATATATCATCGATATAACCGAAATATCGAATATCGGTCCTAACCGATATTTTGTATTTTGACCGCAGTAACAGCATAGCCCGCGATAAAGTACGGTCATGCATGGATGGCATGATGTTATGCCGAACAAATTGAAACCATAATGTAGCCTCTAAAGTCAAGTGGCCCAACATGAGGATGTTCGCTCGTTGTCATATGACCAGCCGTGACTGGGCAAAGTAAGTGCCTTGGCAATGTCATCCTCGTGCACGTCCATACCACCATCAATGAATTGCCGATACGAACATATAAATGGGGCAGCGAGTCCGAGCACCGAATTAAACTTCGAGGCTGTCCAGTTGATTCTTGTTCCTCGAATGACAACAATGTCATTTTTGGAACTCCCAATTGCGGCATAAAATTCCTTTACTAAAGTCTCGTTAATTTTACACGGAATAGAAATCAATTGGGAGTTCCAAAAAATGACATTGTTGTCATTCTTCCAATTGGCCAGCCATTAAAGAGAGCCAAACTTCGGAATCGTACCCGGTAGCCAAAGGTGGTATCGGAGGAATCTTGAAAGTAGCGGGAAGGACAACCGTGGATGGCTTAGAAGCAGGAACTGTAGTGTCATCGGGCAGCCGGGGGCTGTTTTCAGCAGGACCAAAAGTGGTTTGCAGGCCAGTAGCATCATCCACCAAATCATCGTTCTTGTTCGTTGGTTTGTGCATTCTATTAACAATTCCGTGGTCAAGTATGGAATGCCTTTACACGGTTTTACAACTTTCTCTAAAATATTCTAGTAAAGGAATTTTATACCGCAATTGGAAGTTCCAAAAATGACATTGTTGTCATTCGAGGAACAAGAGTCAACTGGACAGCCCCGAAGCTTAATTCGGTGCTCAAGACTCACTGCCCCTTTTATATGTTCGTATCGGCAATTCATTGATGGTGGTATGGACGTGCCCGAGGATGACATTGCCAAGGCACTTACTTTGCCCGGTCACGGCCGGTCATATGACAACCAGCGGAAGATCCTCATGTCGGGCCACTTGACTTTAGAGGCTGCATTATGGTTTCAATTTGTTCGGCATAACATCATGCCATCCATGCATGACCGTACTTTATCGCGGGCAAAATGCATTCTGGTTTATTGCATTATCAAGGAGCTACGAGTTGAAGTGGGTGCACTTGACTATTCCACCATACTAACCACAACGGTGCGTGCTAGTTCTCGTTTGATTTTTCCAGGATTGATTACGAGGTTACTAACAGCCGCAAAAGTACCAGCCTCTAAGCATGACGTGATTTCCTTCAGTCATTTCTCACTTGACCAAGGAACTGTCAATAGAATGCACAAACCAACGAACGAGAACGATGATTTGGTGGATGATGCTACTGGCCCACAAACCACTTTTGGACCTGCTGAAAACAGCCCCCGGCTGCCCGGTGACACTACAGTTCCTGCTTCTTAACCATTCGCGGTTGTCCCTCCCGCTACTTTCGAGATTCCTCCGATACCACCTTCAGCTACCCGGTACGGTTTCGAAGTTTGGCTCACTTTAATGGCTAGCCAATGGGAAGAATGCAATCAAAAGATGGGAGCGATTGCTAAAGCTTTGAATCAAATCACCGAGCGGATCACCAAAGTTGAAGACAGTTGCTGGCTTGACCGCTTGTTCGGAAAAATTCTGGACATACAAGCACGTTCGGAACCGAGTTGTAAACAAGTTTTTATATGCCAAGAATGTGATGATGGTTGCCGATTGGCCACGTTTCCCAGCAGGTCTTTGTCCTCTACAAGTTCGGCTTCCTAAAATTTGTCGGACTTCGACTTCCAATGCTACGGGGCATACTTCAGGCAGTCGAGGTGATATGGGTAAATTGGATTAATTTCACCCTCGGTGTTTGATAATTGTTTTTGAAGCTTTAATGTTGCTTTTGTGGGTATTTGCTACTTTTTCCAACCACCTCTTTTGTGTTCATATAACGTGGTTGATCCTTTGCTCTATATTTTTGTTGCTCACTACTATGATCTTTTGTTAGTAAATATTGGGCGTTGATATTTTTTTGGCCTCGTTAGCATGATCATTATTTTGCAAGTACGATTTCTTTGATGAGTTCTTTTGGGTTTGCAAGAATTAAAAAGACGTAGGCCGTCTTTTCATTTTGACAGAAACACTTTCCCTTGTTACCAAGCCAAACACTTTAACCCGGTTCTACAATGCGGACATTGTACGGTTTAAGTTTTGGGGGGTGTGCTCCAAGGTGTTGCTTTAAAAAAATTGTCTTCAATTTGGGGGTGTGTGTGCTCCAAGATGTATCAATTGTCTTCAAAATATTGGAAGACACAAAAAAGAAATGAAGCAAAAAGCTTTAACCCAAAGATCCCTAGTGAAATATCAAATTTTAGGTTTCTAGAAATGTCAAAGAAAAAATACAACAAAAAGATGCGATAAATTGAAATCATTCAAATTATGTTGTTATTTCAGACAAGTTTGGGTGAATTTTCTTTTAGCCATATACATTAATCCGATAAAGCCCTACCGATTAATTTTTACACCTCAAAGTTCAAAAAAGGAAGTCGTACATCATCTAAGCTTGACGAGATTTCAACGCCCCTCTGTAAGTTTTGTGCTCCTTCCCGTTCTTTTTAGTTGTCTTATTCCTTTCAATTTCGTTACTTGAGGACAAGTAACACCTCAAGTTTGGGGTGTGATAACTCTCATTTTTTAGAGTTATATCTTAATTATTTCCTCAATTTTTGCATCTATTAAATACCCAATTTCCTTGTTTTTCCCTGTTTATTCTAAAAGTTTTAAAAAGAATGATGAAACACTTTCTGGCAACTGCACACTGTGGGAAGTTTACGAATTTTGTTAGTCTTCTACTTTTTGGAGGATGTTTGCTTGAAGATTTTGTTCAAAGAGAGTTGCTTGTAAAGTTGTATTTTTGAATATTTAAGTAGTTGTTAAATGGCCTTTTCCCTAAGGTTTGTTTGTGCTTAATTTTCTTTGAATAAAAAGCTTCATCCTTATCCATTCCTCTCCTATATAAAGAGGCGTTGGGGTTCACTTTGAAGATCCATCCCTTTAATCATCCCTTAGAAGTATTACCAACTAAAGTTCTTCTCTTCTTCTCTTAGTTTTAGCTTAGCATTTTATTTTCTTGTATTGAAGATTGTAATTTGCTGCCCACAGTGGCGAGTTTAGTTTTATCTTAATGAAAGTTACATTTCAGGCTTATTTACCGTCTTGTATTATATTTATTATGTCTATTATGAGCTAATTTACTTGTATGGGTGTGGGTGTGGATGTGGGTGTGGGTGTGGGTGTGGGTGTGACTTTAACTTAGGATTTTTATACAATATTTGGGTGTTTTTACTCTTTACCACTTCGTAAACTTTGTCAATTAAGACGGACTTAAACTCAACGTGGATAAGTTATCACTTTGAAGTGTTAATATTAAATCTTAGACCCAGAGTTGGGCGGATTCGAAATACGGCTTAATTGATGCACAAAGAACTCGAGAGAGAGTCTTTGATAATTACACAGAGATGCGAATTTTGTATGTATTTAGCTAAGGATTAAGCGATGGTTATCCATATTACAAATAGATTTGAGTATGAATTTTTTTTTTTTCCTGTTTAGCTAAATCGGCAAGTTTCGAAGTGGTGAGCGTAGGAACTTTGTGGAACTTTATGGGGACCGTTTATATATTCACTTTCGAAAGATTGGAATTTTTATAAACAACTCATAAGTTTCTAACCATTATATTGTTGATTTTATCTTAAGGAACACTTATACCCATGCCCATTCTTAAGTCTATAAGTTCATTCCACTATTTTTGTCTTTTAAAGCTTTTTACCAACAAAATCAAACTTATATTCACAAACTGAAACACGATCGAGAAGTTCATGAAAGTCTCTGAATCTCAGTAGTCCAGCCCCTGTGGAAACGATCTCGGTATTTTACAACTTTATTACTTGTAAGCAATCAAAGTGTCGGCATGCACTTGCACCGCCACTGTGGGGACTTTATGCCCACTATGTGAACACGAACGATCATAAGTTGTCAACTCTAATATGGCAACTACAAAAATATATCTATGATATTCATGCAATTAGAAAATATGAACTAAATAGATGATGAGCAATCATATCAAGCAGAGAGCAAGATGTTACAAATTCACACAAGGGGAATTACCATCGCTGCAATTAACATATTTTTATAGGGTATTACCTTTTATATCGATAATATTCCTCGCGAGCTCCCCTTAAATGACGTCTCAATGTTGCCATAGATTTTTCATCAGTGTCATAATCCATATCATTTTCCCCTAAACAACCTCCTTGTGGTTTGAAAGATGGATCTTCACGTAACTGAAAAACAAAAAGAGTAGGAACCATGTAAGCAAGGACCATCTAATGATATCAGTTATGCAAGAGGCAGAAATACCATTTGATTTAACAAGTTGTCAATAATATTCATGTAGGGCCTCAATGGATCATGCTTGGACATTTGTTTAGATGTAGCCTGGGCCACCTGACAAACATTAAAAGATTAACCAGAAAAACACAAGTTAGAAAACCAAAAACAGCACAAAAAAGACAAAAGTATAGAGTTAACAGAGATGTCCTTGCACGATAATTGCTCTTATAGGATTGAAGAACTAATGATGCATGAAATGTTGCAAACAAACAGAGAAAGCATCATGCTCCCTGAATATTTTGCTTTTAGATCTATGAAGGATGACAAGTATGTCACCATGGATATCACTCTATTTCAACATTTAGCATGTATACATTATATGTAGCATCTATTGTATAAGAACTCAAAATTACATTACTAGCAGTTTATCATCATTGCATCTATTTGTATCTTCATCCTTCTACATATTTGCTCTACATATTTGCTGATAAAAGTGGAAATCCTAGCCAACAACAATCCTTGCAGTTGACTTTTTCAACTGTTAACTCATATAATATCAGAGTGGGTAAAGTCATACTAGTGCATCCCTCTGGCCTCTACCCTCTCATGCATCAAAATAATAAAACATGATGATTGAAATAGTTGAAGCACAATACAGCCGACCACAACCTCGATACACCTTTCATCGTTCTTTAACACAATGACTCCTTGCCAACGCTCATCTTAAGGATATTTTACTTCATGTGAATCTCAGTTTATCTATGCTCATCTCTTGTCCCGTCTCTATTCTAGGGAGATGCTATCCTATCATCCACTTATCTAATCAATCGTATGCCATCTAGGGTTCTTAAGTTTCTAACATCTCACCAAACTCTCATGATCACCTATCCTCACATTAGGTTATTATCAGATGTTCCTCTCAAAGTCTCCGGATGCACATCCTTTATTCATAATTCATCACAAAACTATAGTAAACTGGACCTTAATCTCAAAGTGCATCTTTCTAAGTTATTCTAGACACCAAAGTGGTTACAAATGTTATTCTCCGGTCACAAAAAGGTCTACACAATGGATATTACATACTTTGAAGACCAACCATTTTATCCCAAATTACCTATTCCGGGGGAGAAAGATTCACATGAATATCATATTTGGGATGAAACTCCAAACCAATGTTGCCCCAAACCAACCAAACCATTTTGTTCCTCAGTTTGAGGTACATTGCTCTCCTCCAGCTTCCATGGAACCAAATCACACCCCAAATACAGTCTCTTCTGAAGTATTGAAAGAAGTGCTGGTATATTCTAGACGACCAAAAATCAAAAGGTGATGAAGAGGAAAACACACACCACCATCATGAGGCTGATCCGAACCCCGAGCAAAATCTGAAATCTCATGAAGGTACGAGTTCTCATATACCTGAATGTAGTCCTTCAAAAACTAATAAGGTTAGTGATGAATCCGACGACCTTAATGTTCCCATAGCATTAAGAAAAGGCAAACGATCATGCACAGCACATCCCATCAGTGATTTTATGACACGAAGGTTTACAACATCCTGAATGTAAGGCAGTAGTTGCCGGTCTTAACGCCCCTACTACTGCTGTGCAGCCTTTCCTCGGGTTCGTAGAGTCGGGTTTCCCGTTTACCCACAACGGGAAATAAAGTTTTTTTTATTGCTTCATTAATATTGCTTTACTTGTCTGATGAAGAAATGAATGCCCTCTTGAAAAAGAACACTTGGGAATATTCAAACCTACCGAAAAACAAACAGCTGGTTGTAAATGGGTCTTCACTGTAAAGTACCATGCTAATGGAACCATTAATCCATTCAACGCAAGGCTGGTGACAAAAGGATTTACAGAAGCATATGGAGTTGAATATGGGGAAACGTTCGCACCAATTGCAAAGTTGAATTCTATAAGGGTATTATTGCTCTCTCTTGCAGCAAACTTAGAATGGCCACTACATCAACTCGATATAAAGAATATCTTCCTTAATGGGAAAGTAGAGGAAGACATGTACATGGATGTGCCACGGGGAATGGTTACAAAAGAATCCTTTGGAAAAGTTTGTAGGCTGAAAAATTCACTCTACGGGATCAAACAATCACCTAGAGCTTGGTTTGAGAGGCTAACTCGAGTTGAGAAACACCATGGATTTGCTCAATGTCAAACCGATGTTCAAAACAGGAAGAAATTCATCATGATCATGTATGTAGATGACATAATTTTGACAGGTGATTGTGTGGAAGAGCTCAAACATCTAAAGGATATGCTTGCAAAGGAGTTTGAAGTAAAAGACCTGGGAAAACTCAAATACCTTCTTGAATTGAGGTTGCAAGCTCCCACAAGGGAATCTTTGTAACACAAAGGAAGTTTACCATTCATCTTCTAAAAGAAACAGAAATGTTAGATTGCAAGCCAGCATCGACACCTATGGATCCATAAGAAAGGTATCAAATAAAAGATGGCAAACTAACTGGTAAATGAAGGTAGTAAAGATTGGTTGGGAAACTGATTTACTTGTCACATACCACGCCTGACATCAGCTTTGTAATGGTCAATAGGTACATGAACCAACCAACAGAAGATCATCAAAGAAGCAGTGTTTCAAATTCTTCAGTACCTGAAACAAAACCCTGGAAGGGGACTATTCTTTGGCAAGACAATGGACCAACAAGTAAAGGTTTTCACAGACGCTAATTGGGGCCAAAAGGAACTGACAGGAGATCTACTATAGGTTACTGTTCCTACGTTTGCCGAAACCTGGTAACCTGGAGAAGCAAAAAACAAGTTGTTGTAGCCTGAAGCAGCGCTGAGGCTGAATTTAGAGCTATATGTCATGGAATCTGTGAAGGAATATGGCTAAAAAGACTCCTGACAGAGCTCAACTTAGCAAACAATGCTCCAATAACTCTACTTTGTGATAACAAAGTTGCGATTGATATCGCAAGGAACCCTGTGCACCATGAACGAACTAAACATGTGGAACTTGAGCGACACTTCATTAAAGAAAAGTTAGACTAGGGAGAAGTTCTGCAAAGCAACAGACAGCAGATATCCTTACAAAGGCCCTGCCACAACATGGGTACGAAGAGCTACAGTCCAAGCTGAGTATGATCAACATTCATAGCCTAGCATGAGGGGGAGTGTGGAAGATCAGAAGTCTCTAGTCTAGCTGGAAATCCTTAATTCTAGGATAACCAGTTGAGCATCGGTGTTAGTTAGGGGTGATTGGGTGTTTTATCTTTCCTGGAATAAAGCACAGTTAGTTATGGCTATAAATAAGAGATCTCGATGTACTCATTATTTAAGCTCTTCAATTCAATACAGAAACCCTAGTCTCTGGTTTATAAATTTTTACATGTCTCGTGCTTGCTTGTATGAAATCGACTGTGAAGACCTCAACAACCTAATCATATAATCCCCTTAGTCATGATCTTTATTACAGCCACTTCTCATCATCTCAAACATATATAAAGAATTGTTCATCACCATCATCACTCTCTTCTAAAGAAACCTAAGCCTTCCATTCACAATTATTTCTCTCGATCCAAACTCATGGTTGATTTCCTGTACAATAATTTCTCTGCCTTCTTGCTACGATGAGAATCTCATCATCCAGTTGAATAGTGCACCCCGGCCTGAGTTGCTTCTGAGCTGGGCACATAATGTTTTCGTGACAATGCGCCCAATATTCATCTGGCTCATAATCCCGTCCTCCATGCACAAACTCATCACATAAAATCTATTACACTTTAACTATAATCACCTTATCCACGGTGCACATCATGTATAGTTTCATGGTCTTCAGGTTCACTCAAAACAAAGGAAAGAAGCAACATGGACAAGATTACTACCCCTTTGAGACAACGCTAGGTACAGTTTTACAAATATGTAAAAGAGAATGAGGCAACTAGTGACTACTAAGAAGATATAAATCAAACAATGACACATGATAAATAGCATAGTTTGGATAAACTTTCAAAGGGTAAAAGTCAAACGATATATATATATATATAGAGATTCAAATATGACTAAGGGTTGCTTCTTTTTGGCTTAATGGACTGAATGATATGGAGAGTTCATTTTTTCAACCATACATGGTTGTTTCTTTATGGCTTAATGGTTAAGCCGTTAAGCCCACCATGAAGCCGGTTCGCTTATTTTGTAACCACTCCCTCCTTGCCTTTTTTATGTAATAAACCACATTTCTTCCTTTTGTTCACCTGTTCCATATTAAATTTTTTTTCTTGCCAACTTTTTTGGTTCTGTTTGAATTTCTTTTCATTTCAATTTTTGTTTTGTTTTGTTTTAATTTCTTTTCATTTCAATTTTTGTTTTGTTTTGTTTTGTTTTAATTTCTTTTCTTTTCAAGTTCAGTTTAAAATATAGTTCTTGATTCTATCATTCTATGTAATGTTGAATTATAATTTAAATGTTTAGAGTCTATGAGTCATATTTTATAGTTCATAAACATAATGATCTTTTTTTATTGAATTGTGTTCAATCAAACAAAACAAACCACGGGAGGTAGGGTCTGGGGATATTATGTATACAGACCTTTCCTCTGTCTCAAGAGACAGGGGGCATTTCCTCAAAGACCCCCGACTTGCAATTATTAATTTTAGATAATCCATCGAAGAGGTAAAATGATCATTTTGCTCATTCAGATCGTTAATTCAGCACACAGAAGAAATAGGGACTTATCTTTAACCAAAAGACATCTTAATCAAGACATGGCTTAATGCAAATGAAAAGGAAAGAAACGGCCCTTAACAGCATGTAGCATGACTTTTTGACAATAACAGCAGCAATGACTGTTCTCTTAGTTTTTCTTGTACTCACTCCATGCATGTGGCTTACTCCATTTTAGTATTACTCTTTTGACCGAGAGGATCAAAGTAACTTCCCAAATGCTAATTTTAAGAATCTTAGACAGTCTATTTAAACTGAATATCCAATCCACTGAAAGACTAAGTTAAGAAGGAAAAAACTATTATTACGCTTTAAAGATAGAAGATTGTAATGATAGGGCAGGTATTATTTTTTTCTAATTACAAATCACCTGTTGTTTCTTGATTTCTAAAAATTGGAAACAATCATACGAACAAGACCTTAATTTTGCTCGTTCAAGGAACTTTGGAAAATTTAGGACTGATTAGGGCAGCTTAACTCCACCTTCAGAGTGGCTTCTCAACAATAACATACCAAATTGTCCCACATTCACTAGTTAATTAAAATATGACATACTATAATGCTAGATCTGTAACCATGTAAACATAGTCCAGCCATGAAGTAACAAAGTTTAAGATCAAGCCAAATAAATTAGACTGATAAAAACCTTATGACATGGAAAATGTTGACATGAAAAGAATAAACAAATCCTACAAGTACTTACAGCAATGGCATTTGATAACTCTTGATGAGCCTCATCAAGCTTCACAGCCATTTTCGCAATTTTGTGAGAAAGAACCTTTTGGCGAGAGGTCCAGTCAGCATTCCTCCAAATGGTCTTTGGAATTTCGCTTAAGCCAAAACCAAGAAGGAATGCACCAGTAACAAGTCCAAAAGTATTTGAGCATGCCATTGCTAGACCCAATACACCTCCACTCCTGTAAATAGACCAAAAGTTATAACGACACCCATGCTGAGAGATCAGGTTAAAAGACTAATGGAATCATTATAAATACTATTAAACAATTATACTACTTAAAACGCCAACTAGCTATTATTACCACACATGCTCATGATCTTGCATCACTTTTTGGGTACTATTTTTCTCAAAATAGTTAAATAGGTTATTTTTGTTTTAGCCATACATATTATAGTCAAGCAGGTCTCCAAAGATAAAGAAAGAATGGCAATATCTCAACATCACAATTTAAAATAATGCACTTAATGACCAGTATTCTCAAGACATCTAATTTGAAGCAGGTTGCCTACTGGTAAGAGGAACCGTTCTTATTAGTCTGCAAAAGCAATCAAGTAATTTCGATATAGACATCAGAAAGAAGTCTTCTCTCTGTCTCCTCAACAACAATGTCATGCAAGCCTCCTTCAATAATTTCACTATTATGGTAACAAGTAGTCAGCTACTACATATAATGACAGCCATCCTTCATCAGATCCACTGTTACAATTATAGCCGCTAAAAGCATGTGACCATACATCCTAAGTTCCACAGTTCCACTCCTAAAGTACCTCAGCTTCTATAATTGTTTATTAACATTCAACCTTCGTATGGTATGACAAATTCAGATTATCCAGTAGACTGTAGTAAAGATTCGAAACTGGTTAATAATGGGGAAAGTTGTTGGTTTCATCAATCATTGTAAGTAGGGTTATTTACTTATCACCAACCAGCTCAATGTTTGATTGAGGGAAAACAGTCATGCAGGTAAAGAGCCAACTTTTGTTTTCGAAACTTGAGAAGATAGAAACTTCCATGCAATGAAGTTGTAGTATCAGTGACCAAATTGCTAAACAATAGCCCTTAAAATCTAAATGTTCCGGGGCACAAGATAGAAGGCATCGTGAAGAGTTAGAGACCCAGCTTTCAGATGGAAATTCTTATGACAGGTAGAACAAGTAGTAATGAACCTATCTGCTTAAATTGGTCCAGTCTCATGGTTTCTTCAAGGAAGAAAATGATGGTCAGACCAACCCTCACATTACTAAGTTTTAAAATTGCAATCATTGTGCCAACCTTCTAACAGAAGTTATAAAGATTCCCCATGCCCATCCACTGGATATTGCTCGAAGTAATACTTGCATTAATAAAGAATGTCACAAAAATATGGAAGCGGTGTACTTTAACTGTAACAGAAGGAGCTAAAATGCAAACTTCGCATTTATCAATAGAAAATCCATATGTGAGATATATGAAGAGAAAATAAAAAAGCATCAAAATTCAAAAGCATAAAAAAAATTGTACAAGGAAAGAAACAAACCAATCTTTTCGCATCATGATGAGAACAAGAAGTCCAATAAACCCAATCAATCCCAAGATTAGATAGAAGACTAAGTTTACGTGGATGCTAGTTTTTAGTCTCTCTCTCACTGTAAAATCTCCAGCATCTTCATACCCCTGAATCAAGGGCACAACTAGCCTGCTCAGAGTAAAAAGTATATATAAATATCATTATTCAAGGAATCAAGGGTATGAAAATACATGAACTTTTGAAAACTTGAACAGCTATTCATCAACTAAATAAGCACTATGGAGCAAGATACGAAAACAATGACATGTCAGCTATGCTGGTCGGTCCGCTTTTGACAACTCACTGCATAAAACTGCAGCATCATCTTGGAGATCAGATAAAAGGAAGAAAAAAATTGTTATAATAAGATTCATAATCCTAGGCACATAACAAAGACCTAATCAACAATTAAGATATCAAAAAGGAAGACATGAATATGTGAGCGGCCAACCAGTTAGAATTTTTATTAAATAAGTTACTGATATACATAATGCTCAAGAGAATATTATTCTCATTGTGGTTATTGTATATTGGTATTTGAGAAGAAGAGCTTCAACACGAACAGAAAGGGTGAGAGATAACACTGCGGTTCTCACTGGACATGCGTACACACAAGAATTATTAAGTGGATCCAATATGCAATGTCATGAATTATTGCGTTTATCTCGTGATGCCTTTATAATGCTATGCGACCATTTTAAACAAAAAAATTGGTTGCAATCAAGTAGGCAAATAAGTGTTGAAGAGAAGATGGCGATGTTTTTGACAATTGTTACTCACAATGAACGCTTTCGCATGGTTAAACGTAGATTTCAACACTCTACACGGACTATTCATAATTGTTTTCATGAAGTATTGAGAGGAATGATGGAATTCGCGAGAGAGGTAGTAGGGCCAACATCGGTTGATGGAACATCAAACACATCAGAGAGATTTAGGCACCTCAAAGAAATATTTTCGGTATGATTTATGTTATTGATTTGATAATTTCTAAACGTTTTTTATATTTTTACAAGTTTCTTATAGTTGATGTTTTTTAAAGGGGGCTATAGGTGCACTAGATGGAACCCTGATACATGCAGTTGTGCCTAGTGATCAGCAAACAAGGTATAGAGGAAGAGGAAGAGGAAGAGGGGAATGCTACCAAAACGTCTTAGCCATTTGTGATATTAATATGATATTCACGTTTGTATGGGCTGGATGGGAAGGCGTTGCACATGATTCAAGAGTTTTGAGGGAAGTTGCATTTAACCCAACTTCAGGATTTTCGTTTCCTTCATCAAGTAAGTATCATTTTATTAACATTAAAAGAATATTATTAATCCATATTTTTAAGTTCTAGATGTAATTACAGATGAATATTATCTTTGTGATGCCGCATATACTTGTACCCGTGGATTTATGACTCCGTATCGCAATACGAGGTATTGATTAGCAGATTTTCGACGTAGACGTGCATTAACAAAAGAAGAAATGTTCAATCATGCTCATGCACAACTTAGAAATGTTATCGAGCGTGCGTATGGTGTCTTAAAAGCAAGATTTCCAATCCTGAAGCAAATGGTTCCTTATCCTTTTTCAATACAGAAAGATGTGGTGATTGCTTGTTTCATGATTCATAACTTTATAAGGAAATGCAATATCCAAGACCAATTATTTATGGAATACGATGAGAACACCATGTTCACCGCAAATGAAGAACAACATGAAGGAAGCAATGAAACAGAAGTCGATGAAATGCAATGGAGTTCTCAAGATAGTGAATATATGACTAGTTTGCGTGATCATATTGCAAATCAATTATCGTCTAATATTTCAAATTAAGATCTGTGCGACAATTATTATGTTTAAATTCAATTTATTTTCCCAGTTAAATATATTTTAATTATGAAATTTGTATTTTTGCCATGTCAACAATTAATCATACATAATATTTGATAAATAGTTGCATTAGTTTAAACACTTCATCACATATAGGGTTATAATGGTCCTTTTTTTTAGTCAGCACCAAATCCAGAATACTTGGTAAACAGTTTTTTTACAAACAACACTTACTCCAATCAGAGATGCTTACTCTAATCAGACCTCTTATTTCAGACAACGCTTACCAGCTATTGTTGGTAAACAGCCCCTTAGTCATTGTTGTAAAGTGTTCAGTTGTTTCAAGACCTGAGACTCGGGAATGAGTTGAACATATGAAACATTAACTTTAATCATGCAAGAGTAAGTTGGGAAAAACTTAGCAAGCACATAAGAACATGTGTTGCATAGCTTATAGGATCACAAAGTTGTACCATGTCTTGATATGATTTATACATGGAAATATGATTTATCATACATAGTTTGAGTGTCTTCTGAACTTGAAAAAGTTATATATGGTCTGTGCTAACAGGGCTGAGTTATGTTGCAGAATGCTGCATACTTTGATGTTGCAGCATTCAATAGTCGTAGCAATTTAGGAGGAGTTTATATCCATGCTATTTGATTTGTTCTTAAGTTAGTGTTAAGAAACCAAATTACTCTTCAAATGTAGCATCTGATATCAATTATTTCTTATCTTCAGTTCTCTACATGGAGTCCTAATCGCTGTTGAAACAATATCAGGTCCATTACAACTTTATTACTGGTGAAGGACACCAATATAAATAAGTGTATAGTTTCACAAGCGTAGTACTTATTTTTGTGATAACTGATAACAAATCTCTTGGTTATAAAATCCACAACATAACGCTTAACTTTAGTCAACCCTAACAAATAAGCATTCAGTACGACTTTTAGGTGACATTTGCTTATACTTTTTAGGACTTTATGCAGGCTGCAAATGAAGATATCTAATAAAGGGATCAGGTATAAATGGGTAATAGTGTTCATTAGTAGCTCACAATGTACACAGCTTGAGAATAGAGTACATTAGAACAGCATACAGACTGACCTACCAAGTAAGCAAGAAAGTGCTCCAATATGACCAGCTCCAAAAGAAAGAGATACCTCCGTTGTCATGACCAATAATTGTCTGAGCATAAAACGGAAGAGAAGAGATTTTATATTAAATAGCATCATAAGCATATGAACTAGAGCAACTCTTTACACAATATAGAAATAAGTATTTCTTTCAGAGATCTAATTATATTGTAAGCCTTTGCTGAAACCTAGTTGAAGCTTGTTTTAAAAAGCGCGATGCGGTCCGATGCGTTAAGGGTCCTGGAAGCCGATGCGTGATGCGTGATGCTGATGCTCTCGCATCACGCACGTGATGCGCCCGATATTCACAAAATATTCATAAATTAATTCTACATATCAATTTCTACCTTAAAAATACTTACCTATCAAAATACTTCATTTATAACATAAAGTAGTTAAAAAAGTGGCATTAGAATCTTAAAAAGTTCRTTTTCTACTTCTTTGCTGGTTGTCGAGTATCGACAACAACTCACGTCACGTTTTMATTGATATGCGATGCTAGGTCTCTCACAGTGCGACTTCTACTTCTTCGATGTCGGCTTCTTCTATTAGGTCTCTCACAGTCTCACGTTCTATTTTACTTAACTAAGAAGCCCAACTAAAAAGCACAACTAAAAACTGAAAAAGGGAGCCCAAAAATGCAGCATACATGATGCGCTAATGCATAAGTGATGCACGCATCGTGTGATGCCTAGGTGATGCGAGCGCATCATGGAATCGCAACGCATCAGACCCTTTGATGCGTTTTCTTCAGCGCATCGCGCATCACAGCGCATTATGCGCGCATTTTTAAACCAAGAGTTGAAGTAGAGCAAAATTGAAATTTCTAAGAATCCAGATAACTAAGTACTCTAGGCCAAGACTCGGCCTATATGAACATCACTAAAGCCTACATGAATTGCATTCCTCCACCTTCCTTCTGACCAGTCCCCAAGTCCTTCAAATTTATGCTCATCTTGTTTTCAACGTATTCCTACCTCACCTCATTCCCTACTCTACGCATATACAAATGAGACCCCACATGGCCACGCAGGTAGCAAGTCCCAAATTTTCTCTAAGCTGAGACAATTGTTACTTCATGGCCAAATGGATCTGACATGAGCTTCAACACCTCTCTCTCTCTCTCTCTCTCTCTCTTCATTGAAAAGGATCCACATTGATTCCTCATTCTCTATTTTAATCTTTCTACCATGCAATACCAGTTACTCCTTTATTACTTGCTTTTGTTACATCACTTTTCATCTACACATACTAGGACACCTCAATTTTACTCCCTTATATCTGTTCTTCTAGGTTTATTTAATCTCAGGGCTGTTGCTTAAGGTATTCCCCATTACCAAGAATTGTTTGGCATGGCCGCATGGGAGTATCTTTGCTCCAAAATATGAATCTCATTAAGTGTATGTAAAATATGGGTCTCCAAAAGTTTGCCATTACATTAAACAAATAGCATACACATTAGGCAAGTCAGATGGCAAAAAAAACCCAGGAACAACCAAAAGATCAAACATGTATTAGAATGACAATCTTCATAAATTGTGACACTCCTCAACATGGAGCATAGAGACCAAATTTTCCTAGCTAGTCACATATAGGATTGATTTGTGCTTTCTGGCATGGCTTTGTCAAAATATTTCAAGAACACACCCAAAGTGATTAGGTAGAAGAAAATTTGCAAGACATACCCAACTAACTTCTCAAAAAGAACGAGTTTACCTCAAAAAAGTTGTTGACCTCCATGAAATAACCAATTAATGGCCATGTTCAAAGCTTCCTAATTATCACAATACCATCTTTATCAAGCCAACATATAATCTCCCAACTCTTGTATTGAAAAATGTACCCATGTTAACTCACAAGCTAACTACTTTTGCTCAGTATTGGCACTTGAAAGAGAAAAAATTATTGTCTCTTGCTTTTGTTAGTATATCAAATTACTCTAAACAAACACACAAAAAGCAGTGAAACTTTTGTTGTATGGACATCATGCATGGGCACATTGCTAACATATGAGTAATTTATAAACCGAGTATGCCCATAATCTATATAAAAGAGCTCATCCTAAAGCACACTGAAAGAGTTGGGATATCATCAATATATGTAGCACCCATCACAAAACTATTGTATGGGGAAGGCATTGATTAAGTTGCAACGAAGAAAATGCAATATCAAGCCTTCAAGTCCAAAGACTTCATAATCCCCACTACCCTCGTATTCCTCCGGCCATCAAGAAGCACACCATCACCTAGATAGAGCTTGAAGATCAGGGTTATCAAAAAATCTTCTACCCCCAACTAACAAGGATCCCGACCTTAGTTGCTTCCTCTAACATTAGAAAATTCTTTTGCAAGATCTAGTTATCTCGATACCTGAAAGAAACTAAAGACCTCCCAAAGTCCATCTTCATAAATAATTACATAGTTGTGATCCTTATGGAATCATCAATGTGATCATAGCATCATCAATATAAAGGCACATAAACAATTTTGTCAACCATACCAATGTCCTAGAAGTATCAAGTTACCATAGGCACCATGTCTCATCTTTTCTAGCAAACTTTGACAAGCCTACTTAAGGCTATACAAAGACCGTCTCTGAATCCTGTGACAATAAGAAATCCAAACTTCACAAAACTACTTACATACAAATCTTGTCTTAACCAAAAAAAACCTCCTTTTTGCTATTTAAGGTATGCACTTTCAACTCTGCACCTATACTTCACATCTTTCTCTCCTTGCATCTCTTTTTTTCTCTCTTTGTTGATTCCATTTTTGGGATTGGGTGTGAATATTGTTAATATTTTGGTAATAATAATTGACGAGTTCTAACCAATGTTAATTAATTGTTGATGGCTTCAATTGTTAATGTTAGTGTTAACCATTAACAAGCATCAATGGTTAGGTTACATTAAAGGTTAACTGGTGTTAGTATTATTGTTGAATTGTTAATATCTTCAAAGTGAATGTCAAAAATAACTTTATATGTTCCAGTGTTAATGTTAGTTGATGCTAATAATGCTCTCATAGATTTGATGCCTTAATTATACATGTTAAATCATCTTTTAAGTTGATCTTTGTGTGTATTTGAATCATCCTTTTAAATTGATCTTTGTGTATACACACACACACATGCAAATATCTTTTTTTTGTAAGCCATAAAAGCTCAACGAATGCACCTCATCTTGCGCCATGCCTAGGAAGGACAGCTTTGCATCTCAGTATGCCTCTAGCCTTTACAATGTTAGATGTCCTCAAGAATGACATTGAGAAATGTGTTCTTGATATCAACTTGATGACAGCCATTGCCAACTATGATCTGTAGTAAATACCATATTAGACCTTCGATTGGATGCCTGGCTCTACATTAATACTCTTCGTAAGCATCCTTCAACAACCCCACTTTTGTCTAGTGTGAGGCTACATCTTACATCTTATTGTATCCTAATGCCATCTTACTCACTACTCACTAGACCTATCATGATCAAGCTTCAAAACATCCATCATTTGCACTTGCACATCACAACCGTTTTCACAATCTTCCAATCATGAAAAATCAACAAGATACCAAGTCAGATATTCATCATTTATGGCTGATAGCCCAATACCAAGTATAATGCACCAGCCTCGAGAAATATCAAATACTCTTAAGGAATAGGAGTTGCATGCATAATGGCTAAAGCATAAACAAAAGTTCAAATAGAGACATTATTTGCACATAATATCTCCGCATTCAAGTTCTACTATTGATAGGGAAAATATGAATATGATAATTGCTATAAATGGGTGCACCAACAACCAACACATGTCCGTTCTTCCTTAAGTTGATGTCTAAGCATATCATAAGAAAGCATCATTAGAATCGTCAATGAGGATTAAGGAATGAGGACTAATAGTTTTTAGGGCTTGTGTCAGCGGGGTAGCAGGTAGAATGACCAGTATACATAGGGTTAGGAGGAACATCTGGGCTCTCCTAAGCAGCTAAGTACCATCACCCAACAAGCAACAGTTCATGTAGCCAAAATTGTAAACAATATGTAGACCAACCGCAATGTAAATTACATGAGAAACTTAAAGCAAAAAAACGAGAACCAGTAGAAAAATTACCGCAGAAATGTCGGCAGGTACGAGTATGATGACGGAGATAGAACAGAACCAAGTATACCCGACAGTGAAGAAGACGTATCGAGGAACGTCAGGACCAGCAAAGTACTTGAGCGTTAGCACAACCATGCCTAGGGTTAACGGAAGCGAGATCAGATAGAACACCCACATGATGATGATGATGATGATGATGATGATGATGACGACGACGACGATTATCTCTCTTCGATTCCGTTTTTCTCTCTGCAAATATGGTTTCTTATGGTGATGCAAAGCCAGTGTTCACCACCTGTAAACTCCTGTCTCCGGCGACTGGCGAGTCATCGACGCCGTTGGAGTGGAAAGAATGCGTTTTTTATGCCGTTACGAAAGTCAAATGCTTCTTTAGATAACATAATGAATTAACTTGGAGCTCATTTTTATTTTAGGAAATAGAAATAAACTACTAAAATTATTAGTTAATTTTAGTGGAAATTGTATGAAAATGTAACCAACTTTTATATAATTCTTATTTTAATGAATCAATTTTTAAAATTGTTATTTAAAGGTCTCTATCAAACTTTTTATTTATTTAAAGGTCTTGTTAACTTATTAATACTGACATCATCCAGATCTTTTATCAACTAAGATATTTCATATTATATTAATTTTTTATTTTAAAACTAATATTTCAAGTTATATTAATTTTTTATTTTAAAACTAATATTTCATGTCATATTTAAAATTGTAAAATAATTATTAAAAAAATAATTAGGTGGTGACATAATAGAAT